TCGGTCGATGTTAACCCTTAACGGTCCGGAAGTATTTCAAGTTTACTTGAACCATCAGGTCCAAGCTATTTTTCAAATTAAAACAAGTCTGAAAATTTGCATGCGAATAACACAAAAGTATGCTTACATAAAAAACGGTAAAAGATAACGGAGCATAGATAACAAGCAGAAACCTGATTCACAAAAATGACATAGCACAATATTTAACGCATCACTAGGAGTTACTATTTAACCGTTTGCACTCGAAGCTATTTCAACCGTAAATCTAAAATAATTTTTCTGACTTATACAGTATTTTTATTTCACGTGAGAAAGTGCATCTCGTGCATATGAAATCGACTCTTGTGTCTCACACAACGGTTACGCTGTTAACTATGCTTTTTAAATCTAAACTTTGCTAACGTAAAAATGATTTAAAAACGTGACATCATAAATTTTAATGGTGTCTCAGAGTCACCACTCGAGTGCAAAGGGTTAAAGCATTACATATAACAACAATCACAGCAATAAAAATAATAAATCGGTTCTTGCCGCCATATGCGCGGCATTGGACCGAGTAAGTAAGAGCAATTTTTTAAATCGAAACTTTGTTAATATAAAAATCATCTTAAAACGCGATATAACAAACGCTCGTATGGCGGCATTGGTCCGTTAAGGGTTAACCCTTTGCACCCGAGTGGTGACTCGGAGGCACCACTAACATTTGTTATATCGCGTTTTAAGATAATTTTTATATTAACAAAGTTTCGATTCAAAAAATTGTTAAGAATGTAACTGTTGTGTGAGAAGTCCCAAGAATCAATTTCTCATGCATGAAATGCATTTTATCGTATAAAATAAAAAATACTATAAGTGAAAAATGATCTTATATTTACAACTAAAATAGTTTCGAGTGCAAAGGGTTAAATTAGCAAGCGAAACAACGCGCTTACCTGCGTAGAAAGGACAGATCAGGGCCAGCAGCAAACAGAATACGATGCTCCGTAAGTCTAACATAATCGTCGCCGCTGTCTCCGATGAGAACGCGCAAACATCTGATGTGAACTTCATCCATGAGTTTTATCAAATCGGCCGTGTGCCGTATCTGATAGAAAAGGAACACCTGCAACGCTATCAATAGACGTGTCCATTTATCGGACCCGAGAAATTCGATGGAATCGTTCGTTATTCGCTGAACTAATATCGTACTATTGTTAGATCGTGATCTGTATGCACTATTTCAGTCGGATCGCGTTCCTTCGACACCGAATAAGACAATCAGATCGGTAAAACAATCGCGAAATATTTATAGTAAACTCTCCATAATTTTTGTTCGGCTTCTAAGCAAAAATCGACAATTTGGGAAAAAGAATTACTTGACAGCACGCCACCGAATCTTTGCACGAATGGAAACGTGATGTAAAGCATGCAACATTCGATACTTGAACGGTTACGTTAACGCTTAAATGACCGCGTATTATTTCAATTGAAACTAAAATTATTCTGAGAATATTAAACAGTGTCTAGCAAGCTCACGGTTATTTTACGCACTAAATCCCGCAACAATTCGTTCGAATATTTTGCAGTACTTGGCAACTACTATTAGAACGGATAATTTTCAGAGAAAAGAGATAAAAAACGAGAAATCTCGTTGCCGGTCTTTTATATCTCAGCATTGAAACACGAGAAATCTCGCGAGCGATCGTTCAAGTGTTAATTTCAATCGACTGCCGAAAATCGGACATTTCGCATATTTGAACCGGATTATAGTAAATTTTGCCTAATTGATGCTCAAATTGTACACAAAATTGGACAATTTGGGAAGAGAAGATTCGATTGTTACTATATTTATTGCTTTTATTATTATTTATTATTATACGAGTTACCGATTGTCAAGTACAAAAACGAGCCCTAATTATTCCGAGTCCTAATTATTGTGCCCTAATTATTATTACCCCTGATTATTCTTCCTAATTCACGCTCAGCTTGTACAAAAAAAATAGACCATTTGGGAGAAGATTATCCGAGCCTTGCACCTCGTTTTTATAATTGTTTGCTACTGGCGACTGTAAGAATGAGCCCCGAGGCTTGATTATTAGAATTGTATAATATTGTCGAATATTAGAGAACGTTCGCTATCGATTTAACGGGAAGGAAAGAGATAATAAAATCGGGCGATATGAATATTATGAAAATAATACGGTAAATTCTTCCTAATTGACGCTCGGATTGTGCACAAAATTGGACGATTTGGTAAGAGAAGATACGATTATTCGAGCCTCGTGGCTCGTTTTTGTGGTTACCGATTGTCAACGAGTATAAAAACGAAGTACAAGGCTCGAATAATCGTATCTCTTCTTCGCAAATTGTCCATTTTTGTATACAATCTGAGCGACGGAATGACCGTGGCGACGAAAATGAACGGTTTCGCGCATTTCGTAACAAATCCGTCGGAATAATCGAGACGATTTAGCAGAAAATAAATCAGTAAATTTCTTAAGTCGAGGTTA